AGATGATAAATACAACTTTGAAGCTTGTAACAGCATAATTACAAGCGGAGAACAGAGTAATTTAACGTCAGAACAAGCATAACAACAGCCGGTGTTTCTTGTGAGTGTTTCCCCGGTACACAAACACAATAGGCCTACACACAAACACAAAAATACACAAACACACACACTCGCGAGCTTCCCCCAGACCAGTAATACAAACAAAAATGTGTCTTCGGGAAGTTCGGGTCAATGTGACTGATTTCGATAGAGCAAGTCACATTTGGTTTAGGCAGGAAACATACTACCAGTAGAAATACATTGCTTTTAAAATCGCTCTGTGTCGAATCAATAGATTATATTTCGTGACTAAAACACGAAATGCCGTGAGACTGGGTTGAATTACAACAGTGAGTGCTTCACCCTCTGAACACCACAGGATGGCGACTGTAACTCTGTAACTGTTTGTCCCCTGCAATTATTATTATCCCTCATCGAGTTCGCTATTCAGCTTGCTAACGTTAGCTTAAACAAACGTAACATGCACGTTAGCCTAATCTAAAATGCTCTACTACGGCGTACCTTTCATGTGGCTCGTCAGCGCAGACTCTCCCATCGTTATTTTTTGCAAACTTTGCAGGAGGCTACTCGTGGGCTTGACCCTCGTCTTAGCCATGGCTTGTATTTGTCTTCTGCTAGCCAACGCTCGTTGAAACCTCCTGGCATACTGTCATCTATCACTCTCATCAGAATGCCCAGGTCTCACGTAAAACAAACACTTGCAGGTCACGCGCATAACGCGGGAAGGCCGGAGCGGAGCTGTTTTATGTAAAAGCGAAGCAATTAAGCACACTCCGACTTCTTTATTTTCTTTTAATCTAAAAAGCGAAATAAAGCATTTACAATTTCAAGCACTTTATCCCAAATTCAAGCACCATTCCCAAAATGCAATTTCAAGCATTTTCAAGGATTTCCAGCACCCGTACGAACCCTGTATTGTCCACCCTGGGATAAATAGAATATTAGGATTCTGATCGTGATGTGGACAACAAAAATGAGGGGAGAATTATTAAAAAAATGTTTTCGAGTGGATGTTTAAAGATATCTCAGTGTTGAACTGTCATGACCCCTGTATCTGTACTAGTCAATATGCTCTTTAGCCAAACCCTAACAGCCTGCAGCGATGTACCTCTGCCCCCCCCTGCACCCTGACCTGACCTGCTCACTACATTGCATATGTATGTGTAAGAGTAACAGGAATACACTCAGAAACTGCAGAGGAATCGTGAATCAATAATATTTATGATACCTGAGTTATTGATATTACCCTGCTGAAGATACAGCAGCTCTTTATTTCCATCTAATTAAAAAAACACAAACAGGGCAGGTGGTTCAAATAATATCAGTAATCAGATGAGAGTAGGAAGTAATGGGTAACCCCAATTATGAGTTGAGCCCTGAACACCAGCTGCTCTCTACAGGGAGACCCTCCACACCCCCGCTCTGGATCCAAGAGGTCCTGCTGCTGGACCATTAAAGGCCAAACCTGCAGCTTGGGGTCAAAGGTCAGCACATAATCTGTGATGTGCATGTTTCTAGTATATATCTGCACATAATAACTGAACTACACAGCCTCACAATGTAAATGACTAAACATCGCAGTGCTCAAAAGCGATTTCTCTACTACTCTATGAAAATCCTTAAGAAATGACCCTGTAATGCAGTGGTTCTCAAACCTTTTCTGTCATTCCCCACTTTTAATTGTGTTATCGATGGTAGGCCAAGCTTAAAATTGTCTAATGTATTTAAATAACGTCAAGTTCTACATCTTATAACAAATAACATCAGTCAATAATAACAAATAAAATCAATAACAAATAACATCAGTTCAAAAAAGAGAAAATCAATAACAAATCAATACATTCATACATTCAGGAAATACATTCCGCAATGCAAATAACCAATTGAATGCATGAGTCTCATCACTGGATTATTAGTGACTGCAATGAGCCTGTTTTGCACTACACATCTTTTCAAAACGCGGTTGCAGGCTTGATAATGCCACACTCAAGTCGTGCTCAATGTTGAGCCTCGATCTGTATTTTGTTTTCAGTGTTGCAACAGCTGAAAAACCCATTTTACAGAGATAAGATGTGGCGAAGGGAAGAAGGATGTGCACAGCTCTCTGCCCAATTACTGGATAATCCCTCTCCACTCCAAGCCAGAATTCACGTTCATTTGGTTTCAGTTGTGTGTGTGTGAGCAGGCTCGGATTGGCCGTGGTAGGTGGGCCGTGGACTTTCACAGCGCCGGTACCGCCGCCGCTGCCGCAAACACCCGCCGTTGCGAGGCTCCGTTGCGAGGCTCTGTTGCGAGGCTCCGGCGCAGCGGCACTGTGAAAGTCCACCGCCGTTGCGAGTCTCCGGCTGTAACGGCCCGTCAACACAGCAGCGTTAAAAAAATCTTGGAGGTGGGCGTATCTGAAGCTTGGGGATTTTTTGCGAGCAAGGCACCAACAACCAATCACATGAATCTCCCGCCCCCGACATACAAAGCAAAAAAGCCCGAAGTAAACTGGATATAAACTCCCCAAACAGGCGAAAACCTACCACTGTCTCTGCCACCTCCCTCCATGCCTGGCTCCTCCGGTTTGTATCCTGGTAGGTAAATAGGGACTGGTCATAAAGCACCGGGTGATTCCCTACCGCTAATTTCTCCTCCATTTTTTGGAATATGAGGAAATGACCTGCGGTATCTCTCTCCCAGCTTACACGCGGTTTGATTGGCTAGCGCTTGAACTGTCAGATTTGCATAAACGGGATTTGATTGGCTGACGCTTCCACCTCAGCTTCAAAGTTGAACATTGCTCAACTTTGAATCCTGAAAATCCTGAAAATCTCCGCTCTGCTTCCCACAATGCAGTTCGGCGAAAAGTGAGGCAAAGTGACGTCACCCCATTCAAAGTGAATGGGCAGAAGCGTTGGAAGATTTTTTTAACGCTGCTGTGTAACAGTAACAGTCCACTATCGCCTGCGAGGACCCAGGTTCGATTCCGGCCTGAGATCCAAAAAATGTATTTAATTTAAATAAAAAAATAATCTCCCGTTCATCGCGTGCATTCGCGACCCACCTATTACATCTCTGCGACCCACCAGTGGGGCGGGCCCCACACTTTGAGAAACGCTGCTGTAATGGTAAGACAAAGGATGAACAATGTATTTAACAATAAAACGCTGTTATTTGATAAACAGATCATTGTTTTCTATCTGTTGAGGTAACCACAGGAATGCAAAAATGTTTCAATTGGTTAATGAAACACCTTGAGCAAACAAGCACACACATACACACACACACACACTTGCACACACACACACACACACACACACACACACTTGCACACACAAACACACACACACACACAGTTTAGTTGTCAGAGCAGCAAGTAAAAGGAACTAATTAAATCTAGGCTTGTAATTAAGTTTTGTTTACTGTATATTGAACGTTTGATGTTGGCACATACTTCTCATGAATGTTAAGAAAACAAGCAGTGTTTATTTTTTCCTTGAGTTCTTTGATTTACTTTATTTCTCTTGGTGCAGACCATGGATGTATAATAAGAACTGGATACAGCGTAGGAGGCGAGGTCTCGTTCTTTCCTATGAGAGCTGCTCATTGGCGCATGAGGACAAAATGGCCCAACTTTTGAGAGAGCGAAACGTCACAGATTACCCGTTAGCTTTCAGAGCAGAAGAACCCGTATGTGCGCTCACAGAGCATGCGCCCCTTAAGCCCCGCCCCCGAGCTCCCACTCTCGGCTCACTAGAATGAATGGAGAGAGAAAATAAATCTAGATTTGGCTTTTAGTGCATTTTACAACTTTAAGGACCTAATGATTATAATAAGGGCTATAAAATAGTTCATACTGGGTAGTTTATTTAGTTTTTAAAAAATTATCCTCTGATTTACAGACGTCTCTTTCCCAATGTTAGTCAATGGGGAAAAGTCTTTCTGGGCCCAGTGACGTCATGGACTGATACGGAAATTGTAGTACCGCCGTTTGGACACAATAAATACTTTCCTCAGAGTCTGGCGCACTTACTTGGTGCAGACGCCATCATTAGAATAACTTTGTTCCTGTCAGCTGTATTGTATTCCCATGAGAAGGTGTTTCAACTTTGTAAGGTTTATAATATATTAGCTTTGAAGTGTAGGTGAACACTGCGTTTAAAACCATGAAACAAGTTTAGTTTAGCTAGCAGAGTTCCTTCTCAATTAAAGGTGATAGGCTTTAAGATGATGAGGTCCTTCTATTTTAATGGTTGTCATAGAAATTAAAACACTCACATGCTCCAGGGTTGCTGACAGTAACATACGACTGTGACTGGTGATGAGCATTACTTTTTCAGTATAAGATGTTAATAGCTAAAATGAGTGCTGTACTTTGAAGAGAAATACAGCAGGTCAGAGTTACTATTCTTACCACTAATTCAATAAAAGTGTATTTGCTTGAATCTTCAAGGGTTCCTTTTTGAAGTTATAAATAAATGTGTTTTTAAAATGCAGATTTATTTTGTCCTTATTGTTGCATCTTTGTTGTTTAGCATAATGTTTTAAAATCTTTTCTTGGCCATCATTACCTTCCCCTCTTATGAAGTTTGGAATCTGGTCACATTGGGAGCATTAAAGCAGTCAGTCAGCTATACTTGTAAAGCACCTCTCCATCAGGACACCATCACAACGCCACACATCATTTAAGACAAAGGATCTTAGCATCTGGCATTCCCTATTAACCTCTCTGAAGGCTGTGAATAAGGAACACACTTTCTTTGTTTTCCTGTTTTCTAATGGATTATTGTTATCCTTGTGTGTATTCTCAGGTGTACTCTGTGTTTCTTTCTTATTCCGTTGCTGCTACAACACCTGCATTTCCCTGCGGGGATCAATAACGGTCCATCTTATCTTAATGTTATTATTTAGCAGTATAGTAGCAGTAGATGCAACAGGAGCAGTATCACACTTACCTTGCACGAGGATGTGCACAGAGGTGGTTCTGGGCCGGCTGCTGGTCTGCACCGCACACACATACTGGCCCTCATCCGTCATGTCCACGTTTTCAATCTTGATGGTAAACTCCTCTTGATTAAGGGTCACCAGACTCACTCTGGAATCCACCGACCATTTGTCTTCTCCTGCGTACAATATGCTGGAGCGGTTCAGCCAGGCTGTGTGTGTGACCACGTCCCCCTGTCCACACCTGTGAAGACATAGAAACAGCACCCGTGAAACTGGGGCTCATACCAAAGGGGACTAAGATTACCTGAAATACTCATATAATAGATAAATATGTCACATTCAATTCTTGTTCTACATAAACAACTCAAATGCCATGCTGTTAACTCACAACAATATTTGATTTCCTCTTTGAAACTCTATTATAATTCAAACATTCCTGAATTATAATTTGTTCATGTCTGCCTGCTTCAGCGTATTCAAGAAACTACACAAATTCACACAACCACAAACACAAGTAGCTGTATGATCGTTTCTTAAAACGTAATGGAGTCACAGTATGGCACATATATGGTTCATACGATCAGATTCTCTTTAAATGCTGGGTTAAATCTAAAACACTTAACATTTAAACGTTTCTAATTAAATGCAGAGTTGGACTTGTGCTAGGGTCAGTGAAAAAAGCAACCTTTGGAAACATTTGTTGGGAAAACAAATAAATAATGAGATATTGACTTATTGTGGCCAGGTGGCACAGGTATCTGTCAGTGGGGACGTGGGTAAAGCACTTTGAGTGTCCGACTCACGGACTGACGGACAACTTCTCACTGCAAAAAGGTTTTCAGAAATCTAGACCACAAAAGAATTAAACAAGCGAGTGCCTGTTTTTCCTGGCCAAGGACAGGTTCCTTGAACACAACGCCAGCGTGATGAGTGTAGTGCTGACGGAGAGCACCGGAACACCGCTCCAGCACTTCAAATATGCAGTACCCATAAGGAGCCGTACAAATGCCACAGTTTTTGCGTGGCTGCAGGGCCAGTCCTAGACATTTTGGTGCCCTAGGCGAGATTATGATTTGGTGAACCCCCCCCCCCCCCACACACTCCAAGCAATACACAATAGAATATATAAAGACTAAATTAAAAATCTCTACAAAAGACCAATACACTACAAAAACTGAAACGTATTGACATGTTGGTTATATACATAAAGAAGGTTTCAAATGTATTCATTATTGTATGAACATGTTTTAATTGGGGGGTGGACGTCACATCCTCTAGGGGGGTCCGAGGGTATGCCCCCCCGGAAAGATTTTTTTTAACATTTTAAAGTAAAATGCTTCAATCTGGTGCACTTTGAGCAGAATTACTAGAGACCTGATCTAGGGGGTACAGCTTTAAACACCCATATGAAAAAGATCGGTTTACATTTTAATAACCAAATAAGTATGTGAACATAACAACAACAGCTTCAAAAAAACAATTTCCCTCAAAGAAAAAAACAAACATGCCCTGTTGTCGCAAGAAACAAAGTGCAGAAGGAAACATCCATGTAAACTCAGTTTGCTGCTCTGTGATGCTAGCTCAAGCAGATACTTGGCATCTCATCTCGGGTCATCAATGTTTGGGCTCAGGCTCTGCCATTGTCAGTTTTCTAAAGATTCTGCTTGGTCTTGATTCCAACCAGTTTTACCTGGGAGTGTTATGCTAGCTATTTTAACTAGTAGTGTATTACCTTTTATTATTACCTTGTTGTTTTTAACAATTTTTATAAATAGATCTATCTTAGTATTTAAACTGTAAATTATTGATTATAATAAATTATCTCAAATCTGTCCTGTGGTCCTCTATTAACGGTGGAAATTAGTTGCTGGTATATAAAAAGGAACCTCACACTATCGTGTGACATATCCATAGATCTCTTAATGTTGCTCTCAAAGTGCACCAGATTGATGCACTTAACTTCAATAAAAAAACAAATCTTCCCTGGGGAGCATGCCCCCGGACCCCCCTAGAGGATGTGAGGTCCCCCCCCCCCCACTTAAATCATGTTCACATGGATAGGAAACTAAATACATTTGCACACATGCCACACGTGGTCATGCCACAACCGTGCACGTGCATGCATGCGCGAGTCATGGTGAGATATCTGGATTAAGAGGTTGCTTTTTCTTTGCACACATGAAAGAAAGGCCAAATGAATGGGCTGTGATTATAGTTTTTTTAAGCAGAGGTTGAGTTAATAATTTGTACGGGCCCTCGGAGGATGTTGTAAAAATTGAAATGGCCCTTGAGATGAAAAAGGTTCCCCACCCCTGCTGTAAATAATAATAAAAACCCTTAATTTCTAACTTAACATCTCTGTCTCCTATTGATCTGAGTATATTATAAAGAATAGCCAGTTAATTGAAGCATTATAGCACAGGCCTTTGTCAGATGGTATATTACGCTGTTTTTTCTCTGCTTCGAATAGTTCTCTCTTTTTTCACCATATGTGTGTTTGCATCCCTGAATATAATATTGGCAATATCATCGCAGTTTAATATAATAAAATATTGGTAGCATCTGAGCTGGAAGCATGCGTGTTAACAGCTTGTGTGGAATTTTGACAATTTTTCAATAAGCTAACAAGTCACATTGTACATATGCAAATGCAGCTCTGCAGCAGTCATCAGGTTTCTTGTGTTGATCTGCCCACACACTTGCTTTGTGGCATTCAGGAGTGATTGAGACAATGAGCTGAACACCGTGCTGCCACGCTCCCTTTCAATCACAACAGATTGGAACCAGCAGTCACAAAATGCTGCTTTGATTCAGGAGCAGGGTCACTGAACTTCGACAGTTTTCTACAGAACAACACATCTGCTGTGATTTCATGACACATCCTGGGATCCCACTGAGAAAACTCTGCAAAAGCTAGAGAGAAAAGGTCTCACTTCTGTACCGAAGGAACAAGGAATTCATACTTAACAAACTGTGCTTTTGTCTGCCAAACGACATATTACTTTGGCTTTATTTACATTTCTGCAGCCTGATTTTCTGATGTACAGAGGAGCAGGGCATTTCAGCATTAACAGTATGAAATAGTGACAATGAAACAACAGCTCCACGCTTTGCAGCTGCAAGACTCTGAGCTCCATTTACGCTGTCACAGCTTTTGTTCCAGCATCAGTCACTTCCACCTCAGTGGCGGCAGTATGGTCAATGGTATCCTGCGGGCATTGTGGAGCTATCGCGGGGAAAGTTGTGTGTGTGTGTATTTGCATGTTTGTGTGTAATCAATTCAAAGGAAATAAAATAACGATATGGTCATTTAAAGAGTGATCTAACACCAGCTGAAAGCTTGTTGTTGCTTACCTTTAGTCGTTTAGCTTGCTGCATTGAGGTGCAGGTTGAATCACATACTCTATGATTTGTACTCTTATTATGTACTGCAGCTTCCCTTACAGCACGTGCACTGTTGCCTGCTACTGCATCCATTGTGATATACTAACATTGAACCTTGAACTTTGACCCTCTTCCTCATACTGTATGTCTGCTGTGTTAAGGATTGTATGTCGGAAGTGCCAGAAAAAGCATGCTGGGATCATTATTGCATAATGAATGCAGCAGTACTTCCTGGTATTTTGGATTACTGCATTTGACATTTCATAATGTGTTGGAACCTACTTCATCTTTTTCTGGCTTTCTAAATAGTACTGTATGGTAGTATAGGTATTGGAATGCACACGTGATCTGCAGGTCCTGTGATATCACAGTTTAACACGGCTTTTCCAAATGTCTTTCTTTCTGTTTTTAAAGCTTAAACTAAGGTCTGTAAAAACAATATAAAACCTCATCACCATGAGAAATGGACAAATATAATTGTTGTTTGCAAACGTTTTTTTTGACCGCAGTGAAAATATGTTTTGAAAGCAAAACTATAGAGTGCCTTTTATTAGTTCAGATAAAAATAATAATAATTAAAAATGTTAGACTTTACAACAAGTTCTGGCAAACAATTCTAATTGTATATTAACATTAATAATATAAGTGTACCTTTATCTTTATCTGCACCTGTATGGGGAAAAACACCAGCTTTAAAGAAAATGAAAAGCCATGTCAAAGAGAGAAGTAAAGCTGCACAATATTTAAATGTTGATTTAAAATTGAATGTCAACGTTTTGTAAAAAAGCTTTAAGTCCTACTTGGTACAGCCCAACTGAGCTCACAAAAAAGGAAAACATTGAATTCAGTGTAACCGGGTTCGATAAGCGGTGTCTGCGTTGACAACAATACAACGAATCAGTAGTTATTAAATGAGTTATCCCTCACACTGACTCCTCTCACATGGAACATTCACAAACAAAGGGAAGAGGAAGTGTGAGGGACACAATATGAAGGGGGAAGTCCCCACAAAAAGAATCTCCTGAGTACAGTGACTACATTCTGGAGGTTCTGCCCACTGATTCGAGAACCTAGTCAGGTATTGAACAATTAAAAAATAAACAACACATAACTATTAAATACAAAACACAGAATTTGTGTGATTATACTAAAAAGGATTTACAAAGAAATATTTAACACGAAACACCACTGCATATTTACTGTTACATCAGTACAAAGCAGAATACATTAGTACATTTTAAAAACGGCTGAACATTGTTAAGGCGATACGTTTGTGAGTAGGATAAAAAAACACAGAGAAGGAATACAATTATAAGGCAGGATGTAATTCTCCCCATACATACTTTAATGTAGCTGTGAACATATTTTCAGCTTCATTATATGCATTTACCTTGATTTATTTTGGTAACTAGTCTCTTGCTAAATCGATTTCCTGACAGCAGCTTTCAGAAAGAAACGTCTCTACTGGATAGTCAAGTGTTGTAAGCCGACTTAACATGTTTGTACAAAAGTTGAGACTGAACATATTTTGAAGACTATATTATTATTATTATTATTATTAATATTATTATATTATTCTTTCTTATATGTGCCTATTTTCTTACTACAGTTAACCGCCAATTTTACTTCCCCAGTGTTCGTCTTGAATAAGTTTTCTTGTTTTGCCATGCAAACAGCATAAGTCCCATTTTAATTTGTGTGTGAGGGGTTCAAATGCATCCTGAAGTAAAGGTGCAACATTATCATCCACTGAGATAGGTGAACTTAAGACACAAGCTGTAGTGTGAGAGAAACGACTATCAGTGCATCACAACAAAGAATCCTGATGGTGTCACTTTTAAAGAATTCACTCATCCT